TGATGTACAATACGGTTGAAAGGAAACGCGGTCTAACAATCTAATACACTGTCCAGTATATTAACTCCGCTACCGTAGTGTTCCTTACGTAGAAGGAAACACGTAAACTCAATGAATTGACTTCGACGTCGATGAAATTCGACAATTACGTCCAAAGGCTCCAGTATCCTTTGGAAAATGACTATGTGTAGTATCCATCTATAGATTGCTAGACCGATCAAAGACGTTCATGCTACTATATAATAGAACAAGACCGTCGCTTCGTTTACCTGCTTTGGTTATTGTATCGTTATACTCTTGTGATACCGTTAGAATCTATATAGAACTTATCTTCATTCTTTCTATCTCTCTTTCTCTCTCTCTCTCTCTCTCCTTCTATTTTTTTTTTTTTAATATAAATCATCCATCGTATCCTGCTTCGATCATATTGAAAATTTTTTTTACTATTAATTATCATTGCGATTAATATTAATCATTTTATATTGTACTATTTGAAATCAATCGTGTACATACATAGCATGTATATAATTTGACATTTGAAGTGTTTCAAAGATCGATACAATGGAGTCGATTGATAATCGTGAATTTAAAAAAGAAATAGAGAAATAATAGACCGTCATATGTGCCTTACTATCTTATTAAAATTTCATTCATATTTAATGTATTAGAGAGATCAATATGATGGAGTCGATTAAAAGGTACAAATTCAAAAAAAAAAAAAAAAAAAAAAAAAAAAAAAAAAAAAAAAAAAAAAAAAAAAAAAAAAAAAAAAAAAAAAAAAAAAAAAGACTATTAGATATATATATATATCTCTCTCTCTCTTTTTTTTTTTTTAACTATCCTACTTATCCTTTCACTTATTGAAATTTTACTTTTGTATCATTGTCAGTCTTCTATCATTAAAAAAAAAAAAAAAAAAAAAAAAAAACAAATTGTACATAATTTGATACGTAAAATATTTTTTTGTGAGTAAATCAATCGACAGGTCGAATCAAGTAAAATAACAATTGCAAAAGCACAAAATTTCATCTTCTCGTGTTAGGAGTAACAGCAAAAAAAAAAAAAAGAAAAAAGAAAAAAGAAAAAAGAAAAAAAAAGAAAAAAAAAAGAAAAAAAAACCTATTAGAGGTTTTATTCCGATGCGTTTGTACAAATGTATCGATTGATCCGATTTGCTACTTTCGTGTTTTACAAATGTTTGCCAATCATTAAATTTGTCCCGGTACAACAACACAACACAGGGTCCTCGGAATCGACGTTCCATTGAATTCGAAAATACAATACGAATGTTATTCGTACGGTTTTGTTGACGGTTTTCTTTTTTTTTTCTTTTTTTCTTTCTTCTTTTTTCTCATCTTCCTTTCGCTTTCGTTCCTTCCTATCTATCCTTCTTCCCTAGCCCCCACCCCGTTTTGATTAAAAAAAAAAAAAAAAAAAATTCAACTCACTTGTTGTTCGACATCAAATCTATTTTCATTACAAAAAAAAAAAAAAAAAAAAAAAAAAAAAAAAAAAAAAAAAAAAAAAATGGAAAAAGAAAATATATATGGGTTAATGAGTATCGCGTATCGGTTAATTACTTCAACGAACGAATTCTCTCTGACGATCGAAAGAAATAGATAGAGATAAATATACGAGAAATAAAAGAAAACAAAACGAAAAAAAAAAAAAATAAACGAACAAACAAACAAACAAAAACAAAAGAAAAATAATTAAAGAAGAAAACAAAAAAGGGAAAATAGAAAATGTTGTCTCTAGTTCGATCGGCGGAGTAGTCATGTGAAAAAAGAAAAAAGAAAGAAAAAAAAAAAAAAAAAAAAAAAAAGAAAGAAAGAAAAAAAAAAAAAGAAAAAAGAAAATAACACAAGAAAAAAAAATAAAAGGAAAAAAAAGATGAAGTATAAAAAAAACCCGATGAGAGATTAGAGCAGCCGGTGTGTAGGTATCATAAATCATGATGGCGCGCGACATCATATAGGTGGCTCCAATTTTCTCAGTAACTATAGTTAGCAATCTCGACCCGTTTGTTTTATCCTAACCGACCCACCACCTACTTTACTATATATTATGATTAACGAGCGATAATGAATTTTATGAATGACTGACTCGTTCCTGTTTATAAGTAAAAATGCACGCACTTTTTCTATTCCTCTTTATCTTTCTTCCTTTTTTTTTCTTTTTTTTTTCTTTTTCTTTTTTTTTTTTCATTCTCATCCCTTTCGAAACTATTACGAAGACACATTTCGTAACGAGAATATGATAAATGAATTCGCTTATCGTTACTTGCCGTATTTAAACGTTAATAGGACTAGGAAGAGGAATGTTAATGGTCTGAGGAGAGAGAGAGAGAGAGAGAGAGAGAGAGAGAGAAAGAGAGGGGAAAAAAAAGAAAGAAAAAAATTGGAATTATTCGAATTATCGA